TTTCATCTTGGTTGTGTTTTTATTGTTTTATTCAATTGTTAATCACTTGAAGCATCACATTAAACCATTTTCAAAAATATCTAATTTTTGATTAAATGTCGAGTCATTTTATACTTTGTAAGTCGATCGCTTTTTAAGCATCGCGATCAACCTATAGCTTACTCTTGGGCTTTCTTACAATGAGATTGTTTTGCACACACCCACATGACTTACTCTTAGACGTTCTTACAATGAGACTCATGCATTTTTTCTTGATTGGGTGCTTATTTGAGTGTTTAATCTGTTTGTGTATGCTTATTTGTTTGGACTTGTGTTTATTACTTATTTCATCCTCATTCAGAAATGTGTACCCCCAATCCCATGGACTTGTAAATTAATTTTACCGCTTTCTTTATTGCTTTTACTTTACTTGTCAACTATTGCACATAAAATCAATCAAACTCCCGCATTCTCGATCCATATATCGAGTTACACCTCACTTCTTATAAGTCAGTGTTTTTGCATCATAATTGAATTTCTGGCAATGGCAACATATATTAATACTGATGACCCAACATCAGAATACAATGTCAAGACCGATGTTGTGAGATTTGTTCTTGATACAGAATAATATCAAACTGTAAAGTAAATTGTAGAATGATAAATAACACAACAGGTTGTTAACCAAGTTCGGTGCAACGCTACCTACTCCGGGGGCTACCAAGCCAGGAAGTAAATTCACTATGATAGTCTTAGTTCAAAGCCTAAACAGTCCTAGTTTACAACTTCTCGCCTAATCTCTACCTTGCGAAACTTCTACCTAGAAATCACCATCTACATATGAGATCCCCCTCTCACTTCCAATCACCACAGTGATATACCTACACCAACAAACCTTGGGACTAGACTTAAAATCCTATAGAAGATTACACTTACAATATAATAATACTTAGTTTTTCTTAAAAACTTCAACCAAGAAAAATACTCAACTCTATGCTTAAAAGCTTAAAGAGTGAGAATAATAAATTGATAAACAATAAACTCAAAATCAGTCTACCTCACTATATCTAAAGATACATGAGTGACTTACCAAAACACAAGAGACTCTCAAAACCTAAGACTTTAGACTTCCCCTAATTTTACAATTGTGAAAAGCTAAATTACATTAGATCTGGGTTTCTCTTTAAATACTCCTTAGTAGTCCATGGGCTTCAAAATATTCACCCAAATATTTCTTGATCCACAAGCTAAGGGCTGCACTAGTTATGCATAAAAATATCCTTAAATCTTAGAACAAAATATCAAGTTTCCTAAATTGTCTCAATATCCAATTTTAGACACTTATGTACAATTTAAGATTAGATCACTTGTTCCAAATTAAATCTTTTTGACCTGCATAAATATCTGTAATATATTCAGAAGAAATATTACAAAATTAAATCAAATTTGTCAATATTTAAACAAGTCTGTACTAATTTCCTGGTTCAGCATGTCACGACATATGTCATAACATATGTCTTCAATGCAACATTCACACTCTGATGTATTAGTTTAATCAAGATGGTATGGCATCTTGCTCAATATATGTCATGAACCATGTTTTAGCAAAATTGATGTCAAACCTAAAACCATGGATCTAACAATCTCCCTTTTAGAAAATTTTGACTAAAACAACCTTAGCATAATTAAACTGGATAAAGGAATAACACCACATTAATACAACACAAGCTACATGCAGACATGTAAACTTTGTACAAAATAAATTGTATCATAAATAAGATGTATCGGAGAAAACATGTTGTTTCAGATCTATCCAAGAAAACTAACCTGAACTCAACCTTGAACTAACAGAGTTCAACATATTAGAAGAATATGCAGCAGAAGCGGCACACATAACTCAGAACACTAGAATCCTAAACTCCCATAAACCCAGCTACAAAGACACAACAGACAAAATGTTAGAACATCTGGTAGAATATCTTGCACACAACCACATCAGAAGCAGTAGCAGAAGCAGAGTCACAGGACCTACATGACCACATGACAGACAATCATGCTCCCCCTAAGATGTTGCATACAGAAAGCAACAACACTAGACTAGACTCACTAACATGTTGTCATACCCCAAAATTGTCCTACTAATATTAGTAACCAATTTTCTCTCTCATTATAATCTTAGTGTTATTATATTATTTGGTTAAAATTATAACTAATTTATATTCACATTACATTAGTTGTTATTTTAAAATGCTGATTAGTTTTATTTTTTTTGCTTCTAGATATAATGGGATTCAAATAGTATGAGCGGTGTATATTCATTTATTTTTTTGGTAGGGTGTATTTTTATAACAAAAAAGGTTTGGGTTTAAAAGGGGTGTGGGTTTCATAAAATCTGAATTGATTTAGATAGCCCATTAAGCTTTTTTGGGTAGGCCCATCAGCTTTATTCAAGTTGATCGGAGTCTATATTTAATGATTATTACTTAATTATTATTATTGATATAATAACTATTATTATCGTTAATATTATTATATACTATTATTATCAATTATTATTATTTTATTTTTTATGGATCTGTTAACCAATGTCTAACTAGGGTTTCACCTTAATGCAAGCGGCGGCACTACTATTTCCCTTCTTCTCTATGTTAAGCAATCAAAAGCCTAGAAACTATATCTATATCGAATCTTCGTAACAAAATCAAATCTGAGGATTAAAAAGATTTTTTTATTCACTGAAAACGAATTACAAGGCATAAATCGTCCAGATACATACAAGTGCAAAACCTAATTCTAACTACAATCTCAATCAAATCCTAATCTAAATCAATTTACAATAGAATCAAATCAAATTCCTAAATCAATCTTCAATCTAAATTATAACAGCAAATTACATAACAATATTTCCTAAATTGAACTAATCCATAATGCTATAAAAGGCCCTAATTTCTAAGAGAAGATAAGGATATATTGAAGAGAGAACCCTTGCTAATCATTGTGAAATCCCTAACCCTCACTGAAAGCTCTTCATTCAAAGAGAACTAGGGTTTCACAATTGAAACCCTAAATTCTTAGAGCAAAGCCTTCATTCCCCGGCCAATACCTGCAAAACAAAGAAGAAGAAGGTGATTAGGAATAGAACTAGCAAACCAGAAAGGAAAAGCATACAAAAAGAATCACTGTGAAGAGGTAAGCCTATAACTCAACTTAGGGTATAGATTGTTGATTGATGAAATTGGTTTGTGTTTCTGAAATTTGGTTTGGGTAAGGTTTTTTTTTTTCGTTTTCTGTTGTGGGGTTAGGGTTAGGTTAAAACATGATAGGCTTAGGTAATTGGGTTAGGGTTTGGTGATTTTGGGGTAGGGCTAAGGACGAACAGGCTAGGTTTGGTTGATTTGGATTAGGGTTTAGAGTTAGGGTTAGGGTTTGGATGAAGATCATATGAATATATGAAGGTTTTTTTGGGTTGGATGAAGGTAGGCGGTGGTTCCTGGGTTTCCTTACGGCGGCTCTAGTGGATGTTTGAAGATCCCGGTTGAACTTCAACCAGAGATATGGGTGATGATGAAGATTAGTGGTGGGGACGGATGAAGGTGATGGTGCCATGGAGCAGCCACCGGTGGAAGCGTTTTTCGGCCAGCGGCACATAGGGTGGAGCAATTTCTGGAGATCGCTCTTTCTAGAGAGATGCGAGAGAAACTTTCTCTAGAAATGTTACCAATTTGTTTGATTTTGAATTTAGAGAGAGAAAGAGAAGAAAACAAATTAAAAGAATGAAGAGGAAACAATATGATTGCAAAGTAACATGAAGCTTGAATCATGGGAGCAATATGATTTTGATTCAAATATTGGAAGAAAAAAATTCACGTTTGGGTTCAGTATAAAGATTCAATAGGTCATTTCAAGTAAATTCCTTTAAAAATTTCATACAAAGAAAGTAACAATTTCAATCCAAATCATGATTACATTACGTCAAAAGCCATAAGAAAACCTATCTTTCCCAAGCCAACTTCATTCCTCGAGGTTGCTTCATGCTATGCCTCTTCAAACATGTTCCCATTTTCGATTTGCCATGCCTTCCAAGTTATTCCACATCGTCTATAACTTTGGTATTGATTCACCATAAACCTGCATAAATTCAAGCACAAGTCAGTTTGCATTCAAGTTCCAAATAGCCATGGTCCTGCATAAAATCCAAAAAAATCAGTTCAAGGCTAACTCATACAAAAACCGTCATGTACCTATTGAAAAAAACTAGAAGAAACAGTCAAAAATAGATTGTACTCACAACTACCCAAGTTTGACGGTTCAAAACAAATCGATGTTACCATTCGTAAACATAAACCAAACATAAAAATCACTTCACAAATCAATAAATCAGATAAAACCATCAGAAATTAGGAAAAGAGTTTTATCAGAAAATCTCATTCAACTAACTCTCTAAGAGAGCTTTCTAACTGAAAAAACCAAGAAATCATACCAGAAGTGGAAATGTAACTAACTCTCCTAATAAACCACAATCTCAACATTCACTTTCTAACTAACTATTCATAATCAAAGGTGGAGATTCTCTAATCTCTAACAAACTTTTACAAGTATAAAACAAAATTTACCTCTTTCAATCTTCCTTCTTCAATCTTCACAGAAGAATCACAGAAAAATCCAAGAATCTCTCCCAATTATCTTCTTCAAATCTTAGAGGAATCACCATCAAACTCGAATTTTCTGCATTCAACTGCTTCACCCTCTTATCTCTCTGTTGCGATCTTCATCATCTCCAACGAGAACTCACCATAACAACATAATTGCACTTCATCATCTTCGATCATTCTCTGTACATAGAGTAATTGCTTCATCAATCATCACCATATCACCTTCAATAGTTATCATCTTCATTCATCGAGGTATCTCAGCAACAAGCTTCATCGGTGTCATCCACGGTTTTTCTTCAATCTTTAAAGGTTCTGCACTTTAATCTTCATTATCAATATGTGAGCGTCACTGCGACTTCGAGGCATGATCTACGTCAACACAACACAAATAAACAGGAACACGGAATCGAAAACAAGAAAAGAAGAATTGAAAATAAATCTTGTACGAACTTGTTTCTCCAGAATTCTCTTCGATCTTGCCATCTTTGAAGATACTCCGAATAATTTTCCGGTAGATTCACAGCGAGTGTGTATGTGCAGCGGAGATCGGACACAAAAGAAGACGACGACGACTAATAAGACGATTTGAGATGGATATTGAAGAAGAAAGGTACCGAAGAGATGAGCATAGATTCTGGAAGCCATTGACGCTGAGGCGGATCAGACTGAAACGAAATCAAGCACTGAGGCGATAGCCGTCGGAAAATACTCCGTCGACAGGCGAGAGAGAAGGAGAGCTCCGTTTGCATTCTCGTAGAAGGTGAATGGTTGTGTGATATTGGATTCCTAGGCGAAGGCGATACGATGTCGTTTGCAAACTCTCTTATCTCTCTTAATTCTTTTTAAGTTAATCAATTTATCTTTTTTATAATAAGAAGAAACTGAAAATTTGTTGAAATAGAACAAAGGCTGGACCGGACTTCAATTATTCCCAAGCCTATCATCAAGTTTTTTGGTAAGCTTTTGAATTATGAAAGGTTTCTCAATACAAAAACTTGCTAATGGACTCAACCTGATGGGCCTTCAGCGCCTGATTTCTACACCATGAATCAGCTTCCCACCCCCTGTTCATAATATTTATATTTTTTTCTTTCTATAGTTTTACTCTATCAATTTTTGCTAAATAAATTTAGTGAGTTTTAGGAGGTGATAAAAATTATAAAATCAATAAAATTTATTAGATAGTTTTTATTTGATTTTAGGAATTAATCCATAATTATTCGATTACTTGAGATTTGTGATTCACCTTTGCTTGTCAAGATCTGAGTCTTATGCCGGTTTATTGTGTGACATGTAGATACGTTTGAGTTTCCGACTGTGATTTATTTTCACATCGATGATGCTTCGACACTTCTTCCGAGCATTTGATTTATGACTCTTTTCTGTTGCTTGGTGAAGCTCGCTCAAAGTTTCCCAGGTTTCTCTGATTTGCTTGCTTTGCTACGAACTCTTGTTCGTTTGGTATCATTCTGATTCTGGTTTATCTTTCTTCATTTTACTGCTTTCTAGATATCATGAGAAGTAGGATAATAAAGAGCGTGCGCTCGAAGTCTCTGTTTAAAGACCTGTAGCAGGCTTTCGACACTTATTTGTTACTTGTGTTTGTGCTTGTGTTTGCCTCCTTTGTTGATGATCGATGATGTCACTCAATTAAGATAACGACTTCGATCTTTGCATGCTCCCCTTAGGATTTTATCATTTTCGTTTGTTGACGATTGATGATGTCACTCAATTAGAATTGAGATGACGAATTTGATCTTTGCATGCTCCCCTTAGGATTTTACCGTTTTCTCTTGTTGATGATCGATAATGTCACTCAATTATGTAATTGCAAGCTTCTCAAGTCATATTTAAAGCATGTGTTTTGATGAAGACAACATGGACATCAACTTTCAAAGGATGTGCAAAAAGCTTATCAACATCAAATAAAAGTCTTGAAGATTATTGAAGAATTATTGAAGAATCATCAAATGTCAAAAATAGTATAAATAATTCTTTAAATCTTGAATATAGATGTTCACAATATGCATTCATCAACATATACATATTCTATAACTTTAACATTAAAGAAAACTTTGTTTGAAATATCTTTCAAAAAGTATTTTTGAAAATAATCCTTTAGGAACCGGTTCCTCCCTAATAAGGAACCGGGTTCCAGCTTTTCTCAAAAAACATGTCCCTAGTTTTTGTACCAGGAACCGGGTTGTACCAATAGGGGAACCGGTTCCTGCGTGATATTTTTTGAATTCTGTTGTACCCCAAAATTTGTCCTCCCATATTCATCAAGAAATTGCCAAGCCAGGTCACAAAATTCCCCAAGGGTTATGCAGTTCAACTGTCTCCTATACAGTCAAAACTAGGGTTTGTGTTCTGAGCAAGAAAATGAAGTTTTCAAGGACCCAATCAAGTCTCATATGCTTACAAAGATGGTCAAATATCCTCATATCAAGTTCAAGGCATTCAGCTCAAAATTGCACAGTCAAAACCCTAGATTGCACTACAGTCAACTGTAGGGGCAAAATGGTCATTTGACAGTCAAAAGTTCAAATTTTTGGTCAATATATCATTTTGAAGCCATAAACATCATTTGATCAATGCTTGATCATGATTCTCAAAATTTGGCTCAGAAATCATCAAAGATGCAAAAGTTGCTATATTTGGACAGCTGAAAAAGTCAACTGAAATTGACCAGGGCATAACTTTCACATGGATTATCAGAAAAATTCCATCCAAAGCTCATTTTGAAGAGAAAGACATTTCCTACAACTCATCTTCATACTTCAAGTCCAAGAAATGCTCTCACAAAAAGTTATCAATTTCAACATTATAGGTCATTTTCAAAAGTCAACAAAAAGGGACTTTAAGTCAAAGGCCATAACTTGAGATTGGTAAATCCAAATGACATGGGACCAAAGGCATTGGTTAGAGGACTCAAAGACCTTTCCAAAATGTCCAAGAACATGTGAAAAGCCTAAAAATTGAGCAAGTTATGCCTTGTGGAAGTTGGGAAATTTTTGGATATTTTGAAAAGTCAACATTGATCTAAATGACCTAAAAATGCTAATGGGCCCATTTTTCTTCCAAGATTCATCATTCCAAGCATGTGCACGACCACTTGGCCCAAAGGGAAGTATTTTCTCATTTTTTATTTATTTATTTGAATTTTTATTCATATTAATTCAATTAAATCAATTAAATATGTGGAAAATATCTAAATGAACCAAATGAATCTTTTCATACATGTTTTAGACTTGATATTTCGTGCTTAGCCAATTATGGAAAGATTTGGAGCTGATTGGCATGATTGAACAAAAATGCACATGAAAAAAGATTCAAAAAGATCTTGGAAAATCAATTATCAAAAATCATTATGGCCATGGATTTTATTCAACTTTCTTGACCTAAAAGCTTCACTACATATGCCTGAATCAAACCCTAATCCAAGGGGACTAGAAGCTGCGCTCAGAAGCCATACACAAACTTGAATTTTTTCCCATAAAACACAAAACTGATTTCAAGGTTATAGGTGGATTCAAGCCTCCATTCCTTTTCCAATAGCTTCCTTAGGCATTCCTGAACGTGTGCCAATCATAAACAACAAGCAAAGCTCCAAGAATTGGTAGATTATGTTCAAACTGAGTCACGGAATTCTTGAAATCGTATAGCATAATTCAAGCATCTTTTTGCATTTTTCTTTATTGATTCATGCTCATAATGATGTTTCTAAGCTAACCAACGTATTCAATTGTGTTTTTGTGCCACATATGCGAATCTACCATGTTTGGATATTAGGGTTTGCAGGTTTTAAAATTGGGGTTTTTGCAATCAAGAAAAATTAGAGGTTGGGACTAAGACCACTAAGTTCAACGCGTCTGGACGATTAGAATGGTGTACTCGCGATGAATTTATGACCAATAGAATCTTATTCGCTATTTTTTGATATGGCCTCTATGGCAACGGGTTAAAACCGTTGCTTTTCGTTTTTATGTTTCAGAAAATAAAAAGAGAACGAAGAAGAAGACTCGGTGGCAAGGCGTGACTGGCTGTTTCAAATTTGCGCGCGTTCCAAATAACTAACCCACGTTTTCTCTTATTATGTTCATTGTTTATTTATATATCAAATAAGTCAATTGGCACAGGTGGTTGATGCAAGCACTAGCAATCCCCTTGACCTGGGTTCGAACCCCAGGTCTTTCACATATTCCATATTATTTTTCATCAATTAATCTCAAGCAGCACACCCTTGTGGATCACCATACGCCTCAAGATCAAGCGTGACACGTTCTCCTGGAGATCAATCCAAAGGCATAGGATGGATGAACACGTTATACTCCCAGTCAACGCATCATACAGGATTCAAAAAGTCCAACGAGGCCAATGCTTAATGGGCCAATGTTCTTGGGTCAACACCTCCTGAATTGGGACTGAAACCCTCTGGTTTGACTTTACTATCTTTTTTATTTATTTATTTTTATTCTTGTTTTAAATGTTAGCTTTATTTTAATTACTGTTTATTTAATTAATTATTTTTCATAAAAATATAAAAATAACAAAAATTCAGAAAAGACAAAAAATAAAATATTTATTTATTTAATCATTTTTATGAATAAAGGCATGTAAATATTTAGTTTTAATTAGGATTTTGCAATTTTAATTCCTTTCATATAAAAATTAGAATTAGGTTTAATTAACAATTTTCATTCCTTTTAAATTTTCCTTTTTTTATCACAATATTATTTATTTATTTATTTTATTTTTATAATTAAATGTACATAAGTAAAAATTAGGGTTTAATTTAGGTTAATATGACATTTTCTTAATAACTTAAAATAATTAGAATTAGGGTTTGTATAATATTTTAATTTTAATTCTCTTTTTCTATCAAACATAAAAAACCACAAATACCAAAAAACATTTTTCTTCTTTTAAATTTTAATTTTAATTCTCATTAATTTAATTATTTTTGCAAAAGGGTCCAACGCCCATGTTCATAATGTATTTAATTTCGCGCATTTATTTTATGTCGTTTATTATAATTATGTAATTCTCCCAAAGCGTTGTAACATTTAACTTCTCGCACTTTTACTTCGCTTTCTTTATTTTCCGTCAAATCGGGTCCGGTTTAATTTTGGCGATGTGGACCCGCGCCTTTGTAATAGCCCTAGATTTATTTTCCCGCAAACTTTATAACTGTTAAAAAGCATGCAAGAATGAATGTCTTAATTAAAATCAAGCGTAGAACGCTTTAAACATGACAAGACAAATAACTGAAACACGACACACAATTCGCACACACCACCCCTAGGGTACGCCTCACTGTTGCCTTTCGAAAGGTGATCGTCGAGTAGAGGACGTCTTAGTAAGTCCTCATGATCCGGGAACCTGGCATGAGGGTAGCTTCTAAGGTGTCTTCCCATTGCTCTGGTGATCACCATGTCCCTAAAACTCGAATTGACCCGAACACCTCCAATGGTGGTGCTACCTACCTCTCAATAGTGGGATGGCACTACTCTAAAGGACTCTTACACAGACGAATTCCTTAGGGTAGGTAGGTTCTCAAGGATACTTGCTCTAATCTCAAAACAAACTCAAAAATACTTTTCACACCAACACATTTTCAAAAGCTTTCAAAGCAAACTTTTCAA